TTGATAATTAAAATGACAGATCATTTGTCATTTGTCATTTGAGTCATTTGCCAATCATAATCATTTGGCGAACACTGTAGTATAGTAAGCTACTTTCTGCTGGTATAACAAAAAATCTGTCATACAAAATTATTGAATATTTTTTAATATTCAAAATATTTTAGTACACAACAATTCAGATGAGACATGGATTTTATTATTGTAAGTTTTTAAAGTTTCACTCAATGCTCTATTTTTAGTATAAAGCATAGGCTCGATAAATAACTTTATTAATTACGTAAATAAGCCAAGGCATAGTATTCATCGTATTCATCTTTAAAATTTAAAATTGAGGGTAATAAAGATTGTAATTCATTTCTTGTCAATTTGAGTTTTTTTTTAATTTCTCTGTTGAGACAGGTCAATATTGTATTTTTTTTTTTTTTTTTTTTTTTTTAGCTAGCTAACTTATCTTTTAAAAAATTTTTTTTTATTCTTTTATTCATACAAGTTACCTATTTACCTATTTTCTGATTTTAAAAACCTTATTGTTTTTTTTTTTTAAAAAAAAAATAAAATTGAATTAAATACGCGTGATGATATTATTAAGTTTATTATATTTATTCATACCATACTTACCTAAAAAAAAATAACCATATATACATCTATACTATACAGGTTTGTGTAATACTCATGTCAAAACAACCAGATTTACGAATTTATTATTCGCTAATCTAATTAAAATTCTTATTTTGCAACCCATTTAAGTTAAAGATCACAGTCATAAGTTTATAAATTTAATAAATATTTTTCTTGATTAAATTCTTTGAATCCTCACTTTCGTAAGTATAGTTTTAGAATTATCCAAAAGTGGCTAGTTATACTTCAGCTTATTTAAGTTAAAAATGTTGATAAAACCTAACTAAACATTATCGAGAAGTATTGTTAAGAATTTTTTTCATTTTTGTATGCGGTGTTAACCCGATTGTTGACCCTATTTTCCTTGCCTTCTCAGGTTAATAAACACTTTCTAATTAATTCTTTTGAGAGGAACTTTTACGACTTGTTATTTTCTCTGTTTTTCTCTAGATTGAATTCCCGATCTATTTATACAGAATCGTTGTTTCAATTTACTAGCAAACATAATTAATTTAACAAATAAAACCTAATATAATAGAAATAATAAATAAGATATGTAAAACATATTTGACATTTTTGATATGCATCGTAGTTGTTGCGTCATGACAGCGGTAACATTGTATTGATGTTTTCGATGAACAAAATAATAGCATTTAAATTGGACGATAGAAAGGTGGATCCATTAATTTCCATTCAACTTAATTTATAACAGAAGGATTTCCAGCCTGGTCATCATTCATTTGTTCGTAAAATATGACAATTTTAAATGCTCAAATGGTAAAAAGAAGTAAACCAAATGGTACATCAACAACAGATTCAGTGATAAATTTATCTCCGGAATATATTACCAAAAAAATAACAAATGAGTTAGCAGCTGGCAATTAGACCTTGCAATCAGGCGTTTGGCCTTGTTTTGAATTTAATGCGGAAACATTTGATTCGTTTCTGGTGAAATGGGATCAAATTATTTTAATAGCTTACGAGGATAAAGAACCTAAATTCTCCTAACGGTTTATTATTTGGTATTTTTGATGAAAAAAGAAATAGTTTAATGTTTAACCTTTTGTTAGTCAAAAACCTTCTATAAATACTTTACTTTCACAAGAAGCCAAAAAAATGATTTAAATGGTAGATTTCATTCTTATTTCTTCGTTAATATGCAAATATTGTCAATCAAGATGAATTATTTGCTACAAAAAAAATGTTAGCAAAATTTCAATATTCTTCAAATTCATATTTGGTAAGTTTCTTCATATTTTTATTTATATTGATTACTGACTTAGTCTTGTTCAAATGTTTTTAGGTAATGACTTATATGAAGAAGAGGCCATATATGTCATATGGTAACAATTAAATTTTTTTAATTGAAAAAACAGTATTTTGCTGGTTATTTATAATTTCATATGATTTTCATTCAGATCTAATCTCTGCCGCTGGTAGTCTGTTGACACATTCTTTGACAGTCTGGATTTTTTCTTTGGGTAAAACGGAGTTTACCTATTAATTTAAAAAAATATATATTTAAATATTATGAATAATGCTTATATTTCATATTAACATAAATTTATTTAGGAGGGTAAATACCGTTCATGGGAAATAATTCAGCGATACTTACTACGGCATTTTACCAAATGCAATAAAAAAAGATGATAGTAAATGATTATTACTTATTTCTTATGAAGATCAAAGAGACAGAGTGTCAAATCAACAGAAACTCACTTGTTACATCACTGAGTAAAATAACTGGAAGAACAATTTCATCATTACCTCCTCTTAATAATGGTAAAATGCGTACAGTTTCATTATATTATTTCTTATCTACAGGACTCCAACACAACCAGAATACTCTCCAACACCATCTCAACCAATTCTAGGGTCAAAGTGTTAAATAAAAGAATTGATGCTAGTGTTACAATTAAAGTTTAGCATATGTTATGGAATTGATTATAGCGTTTATTATCTTTTTTTTATTAGTCATATTATTATTTAATATTATTTTTCTTTTACATTTATTAAATTTAACTAGCGCTTATTTAGTCATAACAATGAAAATTATTTGGCCAATATTGTCTATCAGACATTAAAGTCTACTGGCCATAATTGTTTCAGAGTTAAATTGGATCACTGGCCATAATCGTTCTCCAACCAAATTAGTCTACTAGTTTTCATATATATAAACGGCAGGATTTTTCTTTAATAAAAACAACAGTTTATTTTTACATTTTATTATAATAGCTCTGATAATAATTAATAAATGTACCTGATTGTATAGAGCGTCGACGTTGTAGGCAATACCTTATCTGTGTTGTATTAGATTAGAAATTCCATTATTATAAGAAAAATACATCAAACACGAAAACCTTAAAACCTTCTGCTTATCTTTATACCTCATTTATAACCCATAAACATTAAAGAACTGCTATTAACACTAGTATTAATCAGAAACTTTGGTTTGTTGAACAAACTTTAAAGCGCTATTATCTTTTTGGATTTAGATTACGTAATTATGATGATTTAAAAAATTTTGGATTGAAAACTTATGATGATGATATTGACGTTAATAATGAAGCTTTAATTCCGCCATCTATTCATCTTAGTTGGAATAATTACAATTCAGGTGTTAGTTGTCCTGATCAGGATAATCTTAGACAAGCTCAAACGATCTCCCCTAGAATTAGTTCTTTAAATCCAGAGGAAGCGAGACCTCAATATCCAAATGTAACGATACTTCAATGCCTCCCCCCTTCCCCCCAAAAAAATACATGGAAGGAAATGGTAAAAGTGGAAAAATTACTACAGATGAAATAAATGCTAAATCAACCGAAACAGCTGACTGAAATCATATTTCAGATATATCAGCATCATCACCCAATATTCCTGTACAATTACAACCTCTAAATCAATCTTCAATATTATTTAATGATAATGAGAACTAAAGATGGAGCTGTAATTAATTTTAAAATTTTTAGTTAGTTGCAACTATTTATAAATTTTTATATTAAAATAAATTTTGCAAGGAGTTGCAACTAGTTGCAACCCAAGTTGCAACTTACCGAGTTGCAAATTCTTAATTACAGTGCTATCTTTAATGAGAACACTAATCAAGTATCGCTCTCACTTTCACAAACATCTCCTTGCAAAGTTCTATAGACGGTGAATTAGTGACATAATATTTTGCTATTATTTATTATTTATGTTGTTTTTTTAATAAAAATATATCAATATTCATTGAATGGATGTTGAATTATATTAAATAATAATAATAACTTTAATAACACTGATTTTATCGATTCTTTACAATTTTGCTCAATCCATATTACCTTTTCTCAAATAGATAATTTATTAATTAGTTCAAAATTTCTTTGAAAGAATAATCTAGAAAAACAAAAATTATTTACTAACTACTAGTAATTATGAAATATGTATTCCTTATATAATCGTATCTGTTCAAAATCTAACTTTATTTTTCTTTAATTCCCATATAAAATATTCTAATCAAACATATGAAAAGTTGCTATTCATTTATAGCTTTCAAAACAAAACCGCATTACAATCTAAGCCACTCAGAAATCCAATCAAATTTTACAATTTGTCTCAACTCCAGAAGAATTCTGATTTAAGCCATCTGAGTTCGAAGATACTTGCCAAGAAAAGAAGTAATTCAGTAATAAAGGGAAAAGATTCACTAGTGGTATTAGCTGATATAATTTAAATGATTCACTTCCTGACATTCCATCTTGACAATTGTATACAATAATCAATACTGGAAATTTATTTGCTAATGCTATTATAGATTGGTCAATATTTTTATTAATGAAACATACATTATTTGTATGTTAACAATTTCTATCACAAAAAGAACGTTAAGAAGATCAATGGATGGTTTTTAGCACAGGCTTACTTTTTGAATTAAATAACGTTTAATAAAATGTTCTTGCTATAGTTTGCCAGTAAATCATTAAAAATGGCAAAAGGCGAAACTTATTTTGGTGGATGATTTATTTTATTAGATCAGTTTATTGCCATAAAATTTTGAGGAATAAAAATACTTTAACTTTATCTGCCTTCTTTCTTTCTTCTTATTCCTGTTTCTGCTTTTTCTTTCTCATATTTCATCTCTGCTAACCTCTTTTCACACCAATTTTTCCAATTCACTTTCATATATGGCAATATTATGTATAATTGTTAAACAGTGATATATATGCTTATGATGAAAGAGCCTTTGTTTTTCTAATTCCTTAGATTTTATTATGTAAATCTTTGATATTGAAATAATAAGATAAAGCTAATTAATTTATTTATTTATTTATTTAATATAAAATGATAAAAAAAGCCTAAAAAATAACTTAATGTAAAATTTTAAACCCAACGTTTTAATTATAGTTATTTTCACATGGGTGAGTTTTAACAACGCTGATACTTTTTTGGTCACAGAATTACCAAATTTTATAACAACTCTAACTCATTTCTTTTGTATATTAATTAGATTTAAAAAAAAGTCATAAAGTGAATAATCAAAAAGATCTAACCTATAAAAAAAAATTTGATTATGATCTGATATGATCTGATCTGAAAATAAAAAAAATTTTAAATTTAAAATAAAGAAACTAATAATAACCTACAAACAATACAATATAACCTATATCCGTCATTAAAAAAAAATAATAATAAAAAAGGGTTAATAATTCAAAAAAATATATTAAAAGTTAAAATAAAAATCGCATTAATAAAAAATTCAATAATTCAATTAAAAAATTTTAATTTAAACAATAAACTATTACAAGACTATAATTTTTGTGTAGTGTTTCAAATTTAAAAGAAGCTTTGTCAAAAAAATATATACTCTTAAACTCTAAAAATATACTAAAAATAAACCTCTTATCATTTTTAATCAAACATTTTTAGTATAAGGCTTCAATTGGTTATTTATTGGAAAGAAAACTTCTCGAAACGCTGTTGGTTGCAAGATTAATATTATTAAAAGATCATCAAAATTAATCTACAAATTATTATTTGACTTAGTTGACAAATATGACAAATTGGTTATATTTGACCGATCTATCATATTTATCATATTTATCATATTTATCAGATTTGTTATATTTGTTATATTTGTTAATTATATATTATTTATTATATTTATCTTATTTATTATATCAGACATATTTATCTTATTATATTACTATTAGTTATATAAATAGTATGTATTTATCCTTGAGTTGAGAATAACTCGAGATTGGTGAGATAGGTTTTGTAAATAAACCAAGAGTTCAATAAAGATATTTGTTATTCATTTACTATTACCTTTTTGCCATGTCTTCATATAGGCGTGATTGTGATAAAGTTATTGTGATTAATTCGAAGAACTGAATTAAATCGTTTAAGTTTTATTTTTAGCCTAACAACATATAGAGCTTGCATCTATCTCTAATTCTAAAACAAAAAAAGATATTAGATATTGAAACACGAATTTACTTGATAATAATAAAAAAAACTTTTTATTGAAGGGTTTATTAAATAATTATTACACATGAAAAAATAAATAAATTCTTTGTCAAAATTACTTGAACCAAAGTTCGATTTCTTGTCTCAATTGAAGAATTAATAGTTGCGGATCTCGCTTGCAAATCTGATTGATTTAAATAAAAAGAAAAAAAAGTCAATAAATCTGTATAAATTTTTTGGCATTTTATAACCGAAAGAGGTTTGTCTTCGCAAAGAAAAAATAGAAGAGGCATTAAACACTGAGACATCATTGAAACTTCAAACAAATAAAATAAGTAAAGACATGCAATGCAATCCAGTTAGAATATTAGCGTCATAATATTATAAAGCAGGAAATATTTATCTTAATATAGGCCACCCGTTTTTTATGATCAAAAAGTAAATATTTTTTCAAAAAAGTTAAATTATCGTTATTGTTTTGAATTTCTCAATTGGAACATTCTCAAATTTTGCAATTCGATTTTCAAAACAATTCCAATCTATAGCCCTCATAATTCTTCACTTTTATTTTTATTCTTTGAACATACTACAAGTGATACACGAAAAATGAATAGATCCTGTAATTGTGTTTTCAATCTAATATTTAGAAAAATTTTATTGATAAATTTATAAAAGACTTTTGGTCGTACAAATAAAATAATATAAAAAATGTAACATGTGCTAAATATTAATGGCTTATCAAATCGATCTTTGTCAATAGAAAGAATAGAAAGACGGAAAAATAAAAAATGAGTTAATTGCCTGATCGAAACTTTTAAATTTAGTGTAGTGTTAAAAAATTCATTATCGTGATAGAAATAAATATCGTGTAACTTATTTAAATTAACGAAGAGATGTTATTGAGTAAAAAATTGGTAGTAATCATTACTAAATTTACTAACTTTTTCACTTAATTGGGATGTGTGTCATACAGATCGACATGAATTAATTAATAAATGTTTCAAATTAGGGAATTTGTGACACGAACAATTTATCTGCGTTGTATAATATATATATGCATATTTAATATATATATATTCAAAAAACTCTCTCCCCTATTTTACAAAACCAAAATTTTCACAAGAAAAATAAAAATTTAAAAGTTCGTTTTTAACCAAAAATTAATTAATAAACCCAGTATAAAGAAGGTTTCTTTTGTTTTACCCCACCTTCTTCACTACGCGAGAGAGTTA